CAAAGAAGGTGATACCACATCATCTGTCTGCTTCATTTTCAACTAGTTATTTTGATTTGGAAATATGATCAAAGAATTCCTCTTTGCTTGATAAGTAAACAGTGATATTTCAATTCAGCTATTACCATACGCATTCCTAAAGGAGTCATCACTGTAAGCATCTAGGCTATGCTAACCTGGGATCACAGACACCGTCTTCTATTGCATTCTCAGAACTATATTCAAAACACACTCTAAATACTCTAAACTGTGTTATGTACTAATTGCTACCCCTGCCCTTTTCTAAAGTAATGCCATACCTATATGCCACATGTATATCTATACTTCTGCGTGAAGCCGTGCTGAAAATCCTGCAGACACCAAGGTCAGTGAAGGATGAGGAGGAGATGCTCCAGGCGCCAGAGCAGAGACTCCCCTGTAGCCTGTGGGGAAGACCACAGTGAGGCAGACTGTCCCCCTGAAGCCCATGGAGATCCATGGTGGAGTAGATGGCTGCCTGCAGCCCATGGAGGACCCCACACCAGAGCAGGTGGATGCCCAAAGGCAGCTGTGACCCTTTGGGAAGCCCGCACTGCAGCAGGCTCCTGGCAGGACCTGTGGGCCCATGGAGAATGGAGACCATACTGGAGCAAGTTTAGCCAGCAGGACTTGCGACCCCCGTGGGGGACCCACGCCAGAGCAGTCTGTTCCTGAGGGACTGCACCCCATGTAAGGGACCCACACTGGAGCAGTTCATGAAGAGCTGCAGCCGGTAACTGTCTCCAGTGGGAGGGACCCTACGCTGGAGCAGGTGAAGAGTGTGAGGAGTCCTTCCCCTGAGGAAGAAGGAGCAGCAGAAACAATGTGTGATGAACTGACCATAACCCCCATTCCCAGTCTCCCAGGACCACTTGCGGGGAGGAGGTAGAGAAAATCATGAGTAAAGTTAAGCCCAGGAAGAAGGGAGGGGTGCGGGTGGGGAGAAGGTGTTTTAAATTTGGGGTTATTTCTCACTATCCTACTCTGATTTGATCAGTAAGTTTTTCCCAAGTTGAGTCTGTTTTGCCCATTACTGATCATTGCTGAGTGATCTCCCTGTCCTCATCTTGACCCACAAGTCTTTTGTTATATTTTCTCTCCCCTGTCCAGCTGAGGAGGGGGAATGATAGAGTGGCTTTAGTAGGCACCTAGTGTCTAGCCAGGGTCAACCCACCACAGCACCACACGAAAGAGAAGCTCCCAGTGCTGTTAACACTGCTGTTCTGTTACCATGTCTTAAAGCAGCTACAAAAAAAGCTTGCAGTGTCACAGTAGTGATTTTCTAGCATATGAAACTGTTCTATAGCCATTACTAGACTTTTCCTGGGTGTTTAGAGAAACTATGTGGGAGACAGGCTATGGAAGGGTCCCCTATGGACACCTCCAGTCTACCCATCAGGACAAGCAGATATGACCCAACAAGAGGCAGGGGAACAACAGGCTTGTGGTGTTTTCTTCCTATCCACAGAAATAGTGAACAGGATAGTATGGTGGTACTTACCAGTACCAATAAACAAGTATTTTCTAAATGGTGAAGAGTTGTGCACTTAGTGAATAAGGCCACACAGTAGTCTAATCATGGTAGGATGCAAACCTTGTGCTATCCAACCCATCAATATCCACTTACCTGAGGTTGCAGCCAACTCAGCATTACAGTACTATGGCTTTATTGTTACATGTTTGCCGATGATCAATTTACAAAAGTAATTTCTGAGTCATAATGTATTATTAATGTCAGTAGGGAAGACGACTCTCACAACTTGGGCATTGTCATGCTCAAACCAAGTTCCAGAGTCACCCCTTTCCATTCAGTTGAGGCCACTTTTTTCTGCAGGAGTCAATGTTCTTGTGGAAACTTCCCAAAATATCTTAAAGCTTAACTTTTGTAGCTCTACCAGCAGGAGACAGCTGTTGCGAGACCACTGCATCATAAGTCTTAAAAAATAAGGACTGTTGGAATTTGGGTTTTGCCTTTGATAGATTCATTACGCAAACTCAGCTAACAGAGAAATTCTTTCTCCTGTTACTATTACAATAGTGACATCTGACAAATAAGTGTTTTGGATCTCATGTTACGTCTGACCCACAGAATACGTAGCTCTGTAGCAAACATAACTTGACATTTTAGTTCAATATATAGCAACTGTTCAGTCTGGAGAGCTCCAGATCACTCATCATTATGTCACTCAAAACGACAGCACGCCAAAAAGGCTGCTGGTCATGCCTATTGTGTCCTTTTATTAGCAGACCTACATAAAAGAATAGTAAATTCAGTTTATCAGTTTAGTACAATAGTCCCTACCCATTTTGCACTAATACCAGTGGAAGTACAGTGGATAACAAAGGAACACAAGAATTTAAAACTGTCTTCTCTGTTTAGCTTCTTATTCACCTCTTCGATACTCAAAAAACCACACCAGAATTTCTTGTTGAATATTGCTCAGGAACTTAGCAATTCTCCAAAGCACAATGGTTAAACAACAGCTCCACAAGAGGTAGAATACCCCTCCTTGGTTCCATTTAGCCCCTACCTTATGTCCTTCTAATGCATTTTTTTCAGACCTACACCACACATACATACTCTCAAAGCCCCTGTCCTGAAGGCAAAGTGCCTGCCAGTCAGCACGCCAAGCAAAGCCAGCTTATACAGTAGCATCTCTCAGGATGGACTATAAATTAAAGCTTCTCTTCTACCCAGGTGCCAATTTTCATCAAATTTATAGGAGTTTCATTAAAACCTCTTCATCTCATGAATTCTTTTGACACTAGGCAATACAAAGTTGTGAAGACAGGGCCAGAGGATAACAGAGATAAGATTGATGATGTGACCGTAATTCTCATTTCCTCTGGAAATCAGGATAGAAAAAAACAAGACCACATGTGCACACATGAACTGAAACTCTTAGTATTAGAAATCTTTTAAGGAAAACTAAAATATACCTATACAGTTAATAGATAGTAATGATCCATTTCTCAGAGAATGAAAGCTGTGTTAAAATATTCAGAAAAAATGGTACCAGTTAATTTGCTCCAAGACAAAAAAAAACCCCACCACTGATTCCCAGAAGCAACATAGTGATTGCTTTTACTGCAATAAGCATTACGTTGAAGAGCTAAACATATGTTAAAGAACAGATGAACAATAGCCTCTGTAAGGGAAAG